ATTGAAAGTATTTGATTGAAAAACAGAGTGTTTTGAGGCTGGAGGACTGGCTTACAGTTAAGAGCACTTGTTGCTCTTACAGAAGACTTGGGTTCAGCTCCCAGCACTTATGTGTCCTTAAACAACTGTACTCCAATGTTTGAAGATCCAACATCTTATTCTGGCTTCCATGGGCATGTCATGTTCAAGCTATGTACACATTCACGCAGGCAAAGCACTCATCATGAACATAAAATAAGAATAAATAAAGATGAAAAAAAACTCAAACGAACAAAAAAACCATTTATAACTGGACATGGGGTTGTGTGTGAGTGCCTGAAATCCTAGTATTAGAAAGACAATGACATAGCAGCACTTGTCTCCCAACAAAACCAAAACACAAAAGTCATCAAATATTCAGGTTTTTTAAAGCATGTGTTAGTTTTGTTATTCCATGTTTTAGACATGGAAAAGTTGGAGAGTGTTCCTAGCTCTTTATCCCTCTGCTTTGATTAGCTCTTTCTAATCCTAAAAGTTCTTCATGGTTAGGATTTGATAACTTTTTGGGGATTCTTATAAAAACCCTATTTTTGCATGGTCCTTTTAAATAGTGAAGGCTGTTATTTGTGGTTATTATTTATGATGTTAATAAACATTTCTTGTACAAGTCTGTGTGTCGACATACATTGTTTTGTAAGTAGGATTTTATTGACAACCAGCCACACCTAGGTACTAACTAGTATATTGTCTTTGGCCACTGTCCTTCTGTAATTAATACTGAATATTTTTGTTCTGGATAATGTATGGCCCAGAAAACCTAAACTTTTTTGTGGACTCTTTAAAAAGATGTTTGCGGCTGGGCGGTGGTGGCCCATGCCTTTAATCACATCACTTGGGATGCAGAGGCAGGTGGAGCTCTATGAGTTCCAGTACAGCCAGAACTGTCTCTTGCAAAACAGAGAAGGGGGAGAAGAGAAAATATGTTTCCTGATCCATTGGATTAGTTGAGTTGTGTTTTAACTCTTAAAATTCTTGGATTCAGTGTTAATTAACTTTTGTGACTGGTGTGAGGCAGAAGTTGTAAATTTCTTGGGTGAGTGGTGGGGGCTGGTCTTTAGTTGGATGAATAGATGAAGACCCTTTTTTAATTCTGCTTTATTGGATTTGTTTGGTTAATGTTTTCCATGAGATTTAGGACATTTTCAGCAACTGTTCTTCTTTCTTTTGTCTGTTTGGGGCTGATGCTAGTTTGGATGCTACATATTGTCTTAAATTCTCCAGTTCTCTTCATATTTCTTCGGTATTTTCCCTATCCCCTTAGTTTAGGACAAGGTCTTTTATGTGGCCTGGGCTGGTCTTGGTCTTGCCTCGTGATCCTCTTGTCTTAGCCTCCTCGTGCTGGTGCACTACCGTACCCCGCCTCTTGATTCCATTTTTAATTGTAAACCTTCATCTGCTCTTTAATCTAGTTAGGATATTCCTTATTGATTTATTTATCAAACACACACACATGCACATTTTTAAAGTAGTGTTTTAAATAACTTCCTTTAATTCTCTGTTTATATTTCTTATAACAAGTTTGAAATCTACTAAATCTAAGCATTGCTCTTAACATTTATGGGCTATTTTTCTAGAGTGTCATAGTTTACTGTTTTTTTAAACATGGGTTATATTTTTTCCTTGAACTGTGTATTTTAAGAAGTCTTGTAGTAATTCTGGTTTTCATTTTCTCCTTCCAGGCTTTATTATTTAGCATTTCATGTGTGTTACAGCTGTAGGATGTTTTCCCACTATGTACTTCCATTGATCAGACCTCTCAGAGCCCCCAGCCCCCCCCCCCCCCCCCCCCCAGTGCTGGGATTAAAGGCGAGTGCCACCAATGCCGTGCTTCAGAGTTCTCAGCTTTTAAGAAATTAATATTCTTATGTTTTCAGTTGGCTTTCAAGGACTTCATCAGTGATTGTAGTCTAGTATTTAGCAAATGATTGCCTATGGGTTGTACCTAAACATCCTGAGCCCAGGATGCTGTCACAGTCTATTAGGAGGTGTCGTATACTTTGGAGAGCATAGTCAAACAAGCCCAGTATGTTTCTAGTTCACCTCTGACTTTCTCTTGGGGTGCCTTATGTCTTCCTGTCTGAGTACTCTACAGCTGAGCCACTGCCCCAGTCTTGCAGCATAGCATATGTGATTAGCTTCACCTCAAATGTCCAGTTTCTTGTCTCATACTCAGAGGCTCTGAACTTTTGAGTCAGCCAAAGTTATGTGGAGGATGAAAGTCCCTTCCCTTAGGATTTGAAGACAATTTATTAAATGTGTGGTCCTTCCATTGCTAGGATCTCCCTGTTATGTTTGTGGCTAATCCGGAGGCCTTTTTTTGTTTGTTTTTCGAGATAGGATTTCTCTGTATTGTTTTGGAGGCTGTCCTGCCACTCAATCTGTAGACCAGGCTGGCCTTGAACTCACAGAGATCCGCCTGCCTCTGCCTCCTGAGTGCTGGGATTAAAGGCAAGCACCACCAAGGTCTGTCTCTGGAGGCTTTTGGTGTGCTCAGTTGACTGGAGGCTAAGGAACATGTAGGCTTCTCTGTTTCCAATTTGGCAATCTACAGCATTCTGCTGTGGTTGGTCTTCTCTGCTTCTGGCTCTGGGCAGAGATGTAGATAGCCTACTGATCTTAACAGGAAGTTGTTAACTGTCATGAAGACACTTGTTGCTGGTTTCCTCCTCTTTAGTCAACTTATGTGCAAAAAAAAAATCATTGTTTAAAAGCTTTATCAACTTTTATGATTTTTTTCTGTACTTTACTGGAAAACCTAGCTTCAAACATGCATTTTAAAATCTAAAAGTACTTATTTTTTATTTTTGTAATTTGTTTTTATTTTATGTGCATTGGTGTTTTGCCTGCATGTATGTCTGTGTGAGAGTGTCAGATTTTGGAGTTACAAACAGTTGTTAGCTGTCATGTGGGTTCTGGGAATTGAACCTGGGTCCTCTGGAATAGCAGCCAGTTTTCTTACTGTTGAGCCATCTCTCTAGTCCTAATACTCATGTTTCAAAGTCAGATGTTCGTTTCCTCCCCCCTAATTCATGCTCATGGAGATAGAGAAAAGTAAATTTTAAAAAATGGCAAGAAGGGCTGAAGTGAAGAGCCATGATTCCCTCCTTTGGTTTCTGTGGAGGACTGGACGTTTTCTTTGTAGAGATAGATTTATATGCTCAGTCAGATTTTTTGAAGGTTTGGTGGGTCTTTGGAGAATAGATTTGTGGTTTTTGCAGAGCAAGTCATCTGTAGTTGACACTTTATGACTGTATGCTCCATGTGATAACTTTCATCAAATAGCTCTTGTAGGTGTGTTCCTTCTAAAAAAATATGGACAATCATTTTGAATGCTATAGGAATGGTTCTCAAACCCATCTCCCTCACTTTCCTTTGTTCCTTATAATTTGCATAACAGCTGCTTCCCTACTATATCATAATTATTTGCAATCTCTTTGATCTTTGTGTATTTATTTTTGGAGGTAGTTTTTGAGGTTGGAATAATTCATGACAGTTACCAAATTTTTATTAGAAGCCAAAATTCTTTCAATTGATAATTAACCAGATTTTTTTTAAAAAAAGCTCTTGTTTGCTCTTTGTAGTTACTTAGCAAACTAGTAAGAATCAAAGAATGAGATGTCCCATGGCAGCTTCCTCTGCCAGCTTTTTTTTTTTTTTTTTTCCCTTACACCATAGATGCAGATTCTGCCCAAGAAGCCCCTGCATTGCAGAGGGACTGGAGGTCTGTATGATCTGTTAATTGCGCAGTTGACAAGGGTAAGGGGGCTGTTCTGGGGGAGGTGTTTGGGTACCCTGAAGTAGTGGTATGTAGCTTAGCCAGCATTTAGTTTGAGATTACTTAAACTTAGTATTAAAACAAAACAAACCCTTTTATGAAGTCTGTTTGTCCTGTGTCAGGTTTTTAACATTAAAAAGTAATTATAAGCCGGGTGTTGGTGGCACATGCCTTTAATCCCAGCACTTGGGAGGCAGAGGCAGGCAGAGGCAGGCAGATCTTTGTGAGTTCAAGGCCAGCCTGTTCTCCAGAGTGAGTGCCAGGATAGGCTCCAAAGCTACACAGAGAAACCCTGTCTTGAAAAACCAAGGAAAAAAAAAGTAATTATAATGTTGAATTCATAAAGTCCTATTTAAAACAAGTTAAACAAACATAATTTATGCTTCTAAAACTCCTAACTATAGAACCATTGATACATTATTAAAATTTTGAGTATTTTGTAAAGTGAAGTAAACCATAGCCACTTAAACCATAGTTATTAATCTGTTTTGTTTCTTTTCAATAGATTTGTCAGTCAAATGGAACTGGGTATATCATAAATGACATGGGTGGCATGTGTGTCTTTTATGGGGTATGCTAGAGATGAATATATCCTTTACTTCTTTTGTTACCCTGGATGTCAATGAAATTTGAGTTGTATCGAAGCTGGCATGTATCTGACTGTTAGGGTTAAGTTGTAAGAGTGCAGTTGACGAATCTCACAGGAGCCAAATTCAAGTTCTGTAGTTTGTGCTTGGCAGGCTTATAGAATAAGTGCCAGAAATGGTCTGTGTTTACAGGATCAAATTGAAGTAGAAGAGGAAGACTTTAATGCTCTGAAAATGGGAGGACTGGATAGGCGGCTATAGCCTTTGTGAGTAATTGGGGATAGTCTGAAGGACTTACTTTTGAACATATTTTATACCTGGCAGTGCAATAGCTTTGTTTACTTAAAGTAGTATACATTTTGGTAACTTAAATAGATACTTTTAGTATTCTGTACTTGTTTTTAAATAGGCTTCCTTCAAAATTTCTTTTGTAGATTTTTTTTAGGATTCACCAATAAAATATTATACCTGTTATCGTTATCACTGTTAATAAATGTTCCACTTTTTAATGACAACACAATTAGAAAAATATTTTTTTTTAATTTTAAACAACTTAAATGACTTTTGTTTTTATTTTTATTTTTTCTGTTTTCTTTAAGCCATAAAGATGAGTTTACCATTATTCCTGTACTGGTTGGAGCTCTGAGTGAGTCAAAAGAACAGGAATTCGGAAAACTCTTCAGTAAATATCTAGCGGATCCTAGTAATCTCTTTGTGGTCTCTTCTGATTTCTGCCACTGGGGTAAGTCCTAGATTTTAACATACAGTGGATGCTATGTATTTGTGGTTAAAAGGTTCTTTTCGTTTCAATCTCTGATTCTCAATTCTTTATCACTCTTTGTAGTAGCCATGTTTAAAAGTGAATAAAGCAGCCTTTTGGTCATTTAAAAAGCATCAGCAGGGGATATAGGCACATTTCCAAAGGCGACTGGTACAGTTGGATTCACACTGTGAGGGCATCCTTACTTTGAATTCTTCTGATAGTGGGAGTTAAAACCTGTTAGCCCCTTATTTGTGTGTATACATATGGTGTAGGGTCTTGGAGGTCAGGTTTGGTAGATAGAACAAATTCTTCACAATGTGGAAGAGTACTGTGTGCTGTACTAGTCCTTCTCTGACTTTCTTTTTTGTAATTAGTCTCTCTCTTATTGGTGAATATTTTTTCTCCACAATTTCTATCAGTTTTTTTAAGTTGCCCTCTAATGCTAGAACATAGATAGAGGCTATTAGCACTGTGATTTTCATTGGTAATACTTTATAAAAATAAGGTCTCCTAGGTGGGTTTTGTGATTATTGTAAATTAAGAGAAAGGATATTTTACAGTGACTAGATCATTGAGAAGTGATACATTGTGGATTTTGTCTCCCAGTAAACTGATAATTCATTCTTTGAATGCTATTTGCTTTCATTTATCTTAACTGTCTCAGAATATTTCTTAAGTTCCATTCATTTTAGGATATCTCTTTGACTCATTTCTTCACTATTTTAAGTCATACCCATTTGTTCATTCTCTTCTGCTTTTATTAGAAGGAAACATAAAACCATACTTTTTAAGGTAAAACCTCCTCAGTGAGTTATCTAGAGAGCTGTTTGCTTTCTCTTTCGAGAATTGAGTCAGCATTTATCTGCCTTGCTTGGGTTCTTTCTCTCTTGCATCCTTCTCTGAATAGAATTCTTAAGGTATATTAGAAACTCAACTATCTTCCATGACAGAGTTATTAGATTGTGTAAACTATTAGCACTGTTTGCACTAGTTCTCCACGAGTATGATTTTCCTCCTAGGGAAAGTTTGAAAATACCAGGAGACCTTTTAGATTTCATTGTCACAACTGGGAAGGGATTTAAAGGATGAAGAGGCTTCTGTTAGCAGACAAGTAAAGTTCAGGGAAGTTGTTAAACATCTTAGAGTGTACAGAACAATCCTCTACCTCCACCCAGTGAAAAAAAATGTCTGGTTCAAAGTGTGGATAGTGCTGAGGTCAGAAACCCATTGTTAGGGTGTGAGGGTTGCTGAGCTCCCTTCTGAAGACTTTCTCTGGTTTCTTGAGTAACTCATTCAACTATCTAGTTTGCATTATTCTTTCTGGCAGAAGTAATTGTTTATTCATGTCACTACATTACTTAGATGCTGGGGCTAAAGTAGAGTCTTAGAAGGGAATTCAACTCTGTCTCATGATTAGAACTTTAGTCATAGTTGATCTTGAAAGTAAAGAGTACTGTTATTAAAAAGCCCTGCTTTTCTCAGTGTTCTGAGTTTCTCTCAGGAACAAGACGTGCTCATGTTTTGGAAATAAAAATTTTGAAGCAAGTAATTTTTACTTTTTTCCTTTTGAAGGCTCTTATGAATCACTTGCTACTGTTCTCTTGATGCTGTTCTCCAGATTGTTCTTGTTAGCAACATAGGCAACCACAACATAAACCTGCATAAAATGTGGGGTTTTTTGTTTGTTTTATGACAAGCTTTCACTGTGTTACCCAGGCTAGCCCAAACTCATAGTCTTCCTGCATCTGCTGAGATTGCAGGTGTGAGCTACCATGCCTGGTTAATAGATGTAATATTCCTGCTTTACATGTGTATGGGTCATCATCCTTCTTACCTCACCAGTAAATTATTATTATTATTATTATTATTATTATTATTATTTTTTTTTTTTTTTTGAGATGGGTTTTTTATAGTGTAGCCCTGGCTGTCCTAGAACTCTGTGTAGAGCAGGCTGGCCTCAAACTCAGAATCTGTCTTCCTCTGCCTTTGAGTGCTGGGATTAAAGGCATTTGTCACCAAATGCTGTTGTTTTCAAACAGGGCCGTTCCTTGTAGCCTTGGCTGACCTGGAATTCACTCTGTAGACCAAGCTGGCCACAAACTCAGAGAGACCCACCTGCGTCTGCCTCCTGAGTGCTGGGCTTAAAGGAGTCTACCACCACCGTCAGGCTAATAAGGAATTCTTAATGCACACAAACCTTATTCTACAATTGAGAGAGAAAAATTAATTTGTTTTTATTATAGCTAATTAAGATTCTTAGAAAGTTATAAGGTGTTTTTTTCTCCTTTTCTAAAAAAAATTAATATTTGAGTTGTAATATAGGATTTCCAGGCAATAACTGAAAAAAAGAAAACAAAACCCTGTAAAAATTTCTCAGGCTGGTAAACACTAGCAGTGAAGACCATCAGGCCTGTGTGTTCTTCAGTGGTTAAGTGATGGAGCTTTTCCCAGTGTTCCGCATTTAGCCGGCACAATCATCACTGAATTTCACTAAGTGCTCACTTAACTTACAGAAGCACTGATTTCTTTCTGGGTAATTTGGCTGGCAGCATGGCCAGCAGTGTGAAGTGTGACATGGATAATACTTGAAAATTGATATCACAGGAAATAGTAATTGTCACTTTGTAAAGCAACACTTTCTGTTTTTATATGTTTATTAAGCTGGATCATTAGCAAACTACAAATTAAACTATCTTAAGAATCATATTTCATGTTTTTTCAAATTTATGTTCCATGTCAGTGCTTTCGCTCTTCATGAAGGTTGATGTGTTTTTTCTTGTTTTTTCTCCTTTCTCCCCCTCTTGTCGAATCTTGCCACCTCAGGCTGCTTTTGAATTTGCATCCTTCTGCCTCAGTCCCCCTAAGTGCAATCACAGGCATGTACCACTGCAGCATGCTTTTTTCCTACTTGTAAAGATATGGTACATGTTGATTTTTTAAATTTAAAACCATAAAAAACAATCATAATAGATGAATTCTCAATAATTTCACAGGAATGATTCATCTCTTCAGTACATAGGCCTTAAACATTTAGTTGCTTTAGGCTCTTCATAATCTCAAGTAGCTGGTTTTTGAAGTAAAATTACTTCATTGATTATGGTGTACTTCACAAATTACTTAGATATACATAATGGACCTTTTTTAATTGAATTAGGCAACTGTTAGTGACTCCTTTTTCTTCCTAGGTGTTTGTTCTCTTTGTTTCTTGTCCAACTTTGTGGAAATAGTGACAGCCTTGCTCACACAGATGCTTGGGAAGCTGTAGTCTCCTTGTTATCAGCCAGTGCCCTTTATAAAAATGAGTTCTTTCTATAAAAATATATTTTGTTTTAATAGATACTCAACTTTAGAGAGACATCAGAGGAATAAAAGTAGAGAGACTAAAATATTCTGGTATTCTTTTGCAACGAAACAAGGCATGTGAGTGGCAAGAACCTATATTCTGTTATCTTGTTCTTTCTATCTCCTCAGTGGAGTTCCCTAAAATGTAACTCTGTTTTAGTCTCTGTGCTGAATCTTGTCATCATATTAGACGTAAGAGAAATGCATCAGCACCATAGTATATAATAATAACAATAATAATAATAATAATAATAATAATAATAATAATAGTAATCTTCTCTTCACCATAGCTACTAGCTTTTGATTTTTTTATCTTAACATACTTACCAAATTCTATTAATACTTAATATACTTAACCAAGTTCTATTGGTACATAATGTACTTACCAGGTTTTACATCCTGGGGGATGGTTCTATGTAGGAGGGACTTGTCTGTACTTCTTTCAGTTATCTAATTAGTAAATTTTTATTCTGTTTCCCAAGTTTCAATTCTGATATTTCCCATATATACTATTATTGTTTGTTTTATGTCTTCACAGAAATTTGTTTCCAAATTCGGATTGATAGCTTTCATTAGCATAATTTTTAGCAAACTATTAACAAACTTCTAAGCGAAATTAGACTTAAAAAATTGGAAGTGATCTATTTGCCTTCATGGTGGTTTTACAAATCAGTTCCAATAAATTTACTAAGTAAATATTTATGACACTGTTTTGTTAAAATATGAATATTATCTACTGTAGTCTCTTCAGCAATTTAAAATTTGCTTAGAATTATATTAGTTCTTTTTTTTTATCAGCTTGAGCTACTTATTCAAAGTGACCTTATCCAAAGTATTTATGAAATTTATACTATGTTCAGATTTCTTCTGTACTGTTCATTAAATGATTCATATGTACTCTTTTTCCTGTTAAGTTTCTTAGTGGTAATTCCTAAAATGTATCTTATTCGAAGCCTATACATTTGTTTTCTCAAGTCTCTGTACATCTTCATCACAGGTTTAGGCTTTTGACCTTTTGCAGTGTTGGGATAAGGCTGATACTTTTGCATTGTAACAGAATCCAGGATGAATGGATGATATAGCATCTATTTGTTAGAAAGGATGATCTTATTTGATAGATCACAGATAGTATTTTCTTTGTGAAATACGTTTTTTTCTTTGACAGTGATTTCAGTTATAGGTGTTCTAGCTTTAGAACCCCCTTGTAGAATGGCCTGCTAATCTCCCTAAAGGATTTGTGTAAGGGTTTAAACATTTGAAAAATGGCTCACCATTAGCAGATTGATGAGTAAATGTACACAGAACAGCTTTTATTGGTCATATATCTGAAAGGCTTTCCTATTGACTGATATTTTGGGGGTTTTGTAGATTAACATTTGTTAGGTCATTGCTTATTTCAGCAATATTTCAGCATAGCTTAATGTTGAGGTATTTGATTTTTTCTTTTTGTTTTGAGATACTTAAAACATAGTGTTGGTTCTTGTAAACATTCATTGTTGTTTGTCCTCATTAGTTGGTTGTTGTGTGTTAAACAGACATCCTTGGAGCTTCCTCTCCACACTCTGTGAATCCACTCATTAATCACCAGTCACCTTTGGAGATGGGAAAATTACTTACCTGTATTTCTTTTTCTCAGAAAGCGTGCTCTGGAATGGATTCACAAATGAGCTACCCTCCTTCCCTCAAAGAGTAAGGTTTCTGCTTTACAGGATTTTTTTTCCTTGGGTTATTTTTCCTCTCATCTTTTGAATTTGAAAAGAACTGAGGGAAGGCACCTGAAGAACCCACTGACATACTCGCTAGGGAGTTCCAGAGCTTGTCCTGCCCCTAGGGCGGTGTCCATGGCTCTTAAAGCTAGAAAGCTCATACTTGAAGTTGAAACAGGGGCTCAAAGAATCCATTTTCCCAGTGTACCTTCTGAAAGGATAAGTTGCAGGTAAGTAATTTTCTCTACTATGTGATATGCTTTATTCATACTTAGAAAAGGATATACAGTTCCCGTCCTCCAGTTATGGAGACAGCTGTTTGTTTATAGTCAGCTTCGTAATTTCCCTGAAAGTCAGAAATATAAAAATTTCAGAATAAATATATTTTCTTATGAGATACATACAATCAGAATTTACTTTAAATGAACAATTCAAAAATAAAAGTGCATTTCTGATCAGTGTATTATGCTAATATTGTCATTTCCTTTACAAATGAACAAAATCTTGAGAAATTATTTTTTAAATAAGTATCTTGACTCAGTTTCCCAGCAGCGGTTGACTTGTGTATTTATTTGTGTGTGTATGCACATGCATGTATGTGCTGGTGTGCATGCATCCATATATACACATTCAGGCTAACGTAAGATGAAAGCAACTGTCTACTTCAGATTAGATGCTGTATCTCTCTATTGACTAGGATGGGTTGATCAAATAATTTGAAAATATTTGTACAATTTTAAGAATTATCATGAAAACATTATGAGATGTTATGAGTAAAATATTCAGTAGTTGCATGTACTGAAAATTTAGTTTCTTTATTGATATGAGCTATTCATCTTTATATTTAACTTTTATGTTACTGTGAGTTGGTCACAAAAAATAACAGGTAGTAAAATACTAAACATTTGTTCCAATTGGTTTCCTGTGTATATTCTCATTTGCATTAAATTATGTGATGATTCCAGTATTCTAAAGTATTTCAAACATCTGTGCCTTTCTTCAGAAATACTTTAAAGTTAGCTGGAAGGTTATATGTATGATACAATGTCACATAAACATACTGTTACACTCCTTTCTTGCTTTCCCGGCAGGGTTTTTACTCGAAAACAGTTCCTCACTTGGAAGTGAGCAAGGACTTTGGAGTAGCAAATAACTGTCATTAAACACTTAGAAATAGCAGTCTTTTACAGACACGAGGTTTACAGATAGGAGCTAAGAGGAATGGCTGTTTCCAGAAGCAGGGAAAAGAGATTACAGTTGTATAAACCTGAAATAGTCCAGGTTTAAAAGAATTAAGGCAGAGTGCTTTGATTTCTTCTAGAATATTTATTTTAGAATAGTGGCAAGGAAGCAGAATTTCCTTGTCTAAGGTGTGCATTTAATTATTTCACAAGAGATGTGCAGTTTTATCAAAAGAAGTTTGAAATAGATATGAATGTAGTGCAATGAATTGAGTCAGTAGTCAAGGGTGACTGAGATGTACATTTGGCTTTATGTAGTCTTCTTACAACTACCTGGCAAGTGTGGAATACACATTCTTTGAAAAAAAGCAAAGCTATAACTATTTTTAAAAAGATGTGAACGAGAAACTTGGTGCATTATTTATTAAAAAGGCATTGAGGGCTCTCAAGACGACCTTATGAGTAGTAGTGGTTGTCAACAAGCCTGAAATCTGAGTTCCGTCCTTGGGACCACAGGAAGTGGGAGAAAACCGACATTGCAAGTGGTCCTCTGACCTTCACTTACACAGTGTGGCATGTGCATGCACTTGAACATGTACCTACATAAAAATAAATTAAAATATAGAGGCATTGAGTGATAGGTGATCATTGTTGTCTCTAAGAATCCTTCTAGTTCAGAGACTATAGTAGATATCATACCATGGCTAGCTGATGCATCACCTTTGTCATTTCATTCAGAGAGCAGACTGTAGCTTACAGCCTGTTCAATTCTAGGATACCAGTTATAAGAGATCTTTAATAATAACTCTGTGGGAAGTTAACAGTTATTATATTGAGCGGCATTAGAAGATAATGTAAACAGTTAAAATATGAAAGTTAAAGAATATGGGGTATGGAAGGGTATGCATAAAAAATAGATTAGCACCAACAGATGAAATGCTGAGTTCTGTGGTATGTTTTTTTAAAAGGAAATCAAAGAAAATTTCATAATTTTGAACTGACCATTATATATGTAAGATCCTGTTTTGAATAAGATGAACAGGAAACTTAAAAATACATAATAATCCAACCAAATCTGCTTTCTCAGTTGTGAGGCTAGAAGTTTGACTTATTATTAGTTCTAGATATGATGCCTAAGGCATAGTTTTGTATACCTGATGAATATATCTAACACCACTAGAAATGCATTTTGGCAAAGCTTTAAAAATTAGGAAAATGTGGGCTGAAGTGGCTCAGTTGTTAAGAGCAGTGGCTACTCTTCCAGAGGACCCAGCTTCGAGTCCCAGCACCCAGTTGGTGTTTGACACCCAACTGTAACTCCAGTTCCAGGAGATCTGACACCTTCTTCTGTCCTCTACAAGCACCAGACATGCATGTGGTAAACAGACATACATGCAGGCAAAACAACCACACACATAAAATAATTAAAATTTAAAAAGGAAACATAAAAGTAAAGAATGGCACTGCTGAAAGCTATATTAGAGGTATCTCAAGTATACTATAGTTAAATAATTTATAATTAGGTATAGATACTAAAAGTTGAATTTCATATTACTACAGTAGGAAGCAATTTATTTTCCAAATCTTTGTTTTCTTTTTCTTCTTTTAATTTCTTTTTAACCTCTGCTATTTGAAGAACAGCTGAGCATTGACTATTTTGTGCTTTACTCTTAGCTGGAATTTCATGTCAGTGTAGGACAGTTGATTCATTGTTTTGTTAAGTCTGTTCACGTTGCATAAGACCCATGTAGCAATCCTTTTGCTTAAAACAGTAATGGCCATAAAAATCACACAAGCTTTTGTCAGGAAGAGCGGCAGTGATAAACTCATTGAGTTGTTACACACATAGTTTAGATTTTCTTGAGTCCTAGTCTTTGGGTTTACCATCAATTATAGACTGCTAGAATGTTTAACAATGCTTCTAATTTTAAGCTCTTTTGTTTCCTTATTCTTGTATTGTTGATGATTTTAAAGTTTCCGCAGTATGAAATAGTTTTTAACATCTTAAAATTCTGGTGATGTGTCATTTCTGTATTACCTTCCCAAATGTGCCTCTTATTTTTATGTTGAGGGCTCTTGGGAATTGATTCTTGCAGAGGCTTAAGCTGTACTTTGCCTTTTGTGAGAACTGAAATGATTTAGTAAGCACTTGCTTTCTTTTTAGCTTCTAATTTTTCCCTATTTTATTTTGTACATGATATTTGTTTCAAGGTCAAAGGTTCCGTTACAGTTACTATGATGAATCCCAGGGGGAGATTTATAGATCCATTGAACATCTAGATAAAATGGTAAGTCTTTCAGGTGTGGGTTAATGGTCTAAAATCTTTTCTTTATTCCAGATTAGTAATTGAGACTCAATATGTTAACATATACAATGGGCTAACATTTCGTTCCCTTTCTTGAATTAAAAGTACAAACTGCACAGTGTGTCCTCCAGTGAATAATTCCTCTAAGAACTTTCCTTTATCATACTTCTGTTTGATTAGTGAGAATATTTAAGAGCAGTCATGTAGAGATTTTAATTATATTTTTGGAGAAGTATTTGGTTTAAGGGGCTGCAGCATACTCTGTTAAGCTGCAACAGTAGATGATGGTGGCATACATGGCTATAATTCCTTGCTGGCCATCTTAAGTAACTTTGAGTCTTTTTGAACTATGTTACTGTTCTTTGAAATTTATTAAATACCTTACTTAGTGTTAAATTTTTAGATAGTTTCTTAATAGGCTAAACTTATTCTTGAGTGATGCTAAAGATTTTATGAACTAAAGTATATATAACCTAAAATTGTAAGTGTCTGATTGAAACTCCAGTTTTTTCAGTTATCACTCTTTTTCTTCTGGAAGTTATGACATTCTAGCCCTTTCATTTTATGTTTTTGCATTCCTATGCCTTAAACTCAGGGCAACTACTCTCCCACTAAGCTGCATTCCAAGTCTGACGGCATATTTATTGTGACAGGATTTAGTAATTTACCAAACTTAATTTTTTTTTTCTGCTGGACTACAGGAATTTTTACAACTATATCATTTTAATGTTATTAAGTTTTTAAAACTCTAGAAATATTTAGTTAGGAATTTAATAGTGTATTACAGATTTTTTAAAAAAACCTCCTACTAAAGTGAATTTACCATAGTGAAATTAATAACTTAAAAATGTTGTAATTTGAGTTTTGGTATATCTCTATAAAACCTCTTGTAAGTCCTATTGTTATATATTGAATTGTATTTTCATTTCTCATTTATCATATTCAACTTGAACTTGAAATGTCTGTGGTCTTTAGCCTGTGTCTACTAAGGAAACTACTGAAAGTATGTTAAGAAAACTGGATTACTTGATAAGTACAATAATTTGCTTTTCTCCCCTTTTGTCTTTTGCTTGTTTTTTTGTAGCTATTTAGATTACTTTTTTTTTTTCTTGGCCACTGGGCTTTCCCAATGTTGAATTTTATCTTGTATTTGTAAATGCAAAATTAAAAAGCACAATTCTTATTTTTCGTAAAGTATTGATAGTTATAGTTTAAATTAAAACAGAGAAATGATTCTGAAAATATCTGTGGGGTATAAATCTCCCCTCTGCCTATGCGGTTAGACTTGCAGTTTCCTTTCCCCATTAAATTGTTCCCGGTGTGATCTGGGGCCAGGACCTGAAAGTGATTTAAGGATAGTAGTAGGGTATGTGGAATGCAGGAGCCTTAAAGTGTATCAGTGAGTAAAGCTATCCCAGGCTAGTTCCTCTTTGAGCGTTAGTCAGACCTGAATGTGCACTATTATTAAAGAGATATTTCTTTATTAAAAAGTCACATAAGGAATATTCAGTGTAGCAGGACAGTCACTCATTTGCTCTGTGATCTCTAAGGTCATTTCAGTTTTCTAGTCCTCATTTGTCTCCAACAGTAGACCCTGGACTAGATATCTAAGTTACTGTTAGAGCCTCTGTGTTTGCAAATCTGTGCTTTGTTTTATCAGCTTTACACATTTTAGTAGAGGATAAATTTGGTCAAAAGCAATTAATATATTTAAGTAAGGAATCTGGTTTGAATATACATACAGGAGTAGGTATGGCATAGGATTATACCTTTCAAAACTGTATCCATTAGTCACATATATTTGTTGAGCACTGAAGTATGGGTAATGTGGCTTGCTATTACTGGCAGCATAAAATATACATTGATTTCACTTAGAATGAAACAAACAAAACTCCCTCAGTAATGATTTTTTATCTTTATTGTTTCATGAAATTAAAATGTAATAGATTGTGTTAAATATTTTACAATTAATTTCACTTTCATTTTATCTTTTAATACAGACACTAAAAATTTTAAATTAAATGTATGGCCTACATAATATTTTCATTGTGCGTTTCTGGGTTAGAACACAAAGGTATGTCTGGATGGTAGTAAACTTTAAATTTTTTTTCTTTAAGATCTTTTGAGAGGTAGGTCTTACTATATTGCCATTGTCCAGAGAGAATGGAGGGGAGGGAAAGGGTAGTTAGGTCAGAGGACACACTGGCATAAGTGGTGAGGAAGTCAGAGGAAAGCCGGTAAGGGTTCTGCCTAGGGGCACTAAGAATGAGTGATGAGAGGAGAAAGCTTTTTAACTACCAGGGACAAGACTATCAAGTTAAGAACTTTGTAAAATAGTTTCAGAAGAATTAGAAGTTAGAAGTTCAATTTGGAACAAAGAGGGGGGTGTCCAATTGGCAAGAATGTTCTCTGTCGGAGGAACAATATTTGAGTGTTACCTGAGTGTTACCGGCTGGGATGAGCTGATCTGCTGAGCATAGTCAGAGGAGAACTTGGTCTTTCCCCTTTTCTCCCTGCTTCATATACTGGACAATACCCACCCTTTATATAAGTGATATAAAACTTTATCTCCACTCATACCTAACTTTGTGTTGTAAATCAGGATGGAATTTGAGATCATTTCAAAATCCATGGTAGTATTAATCATTAAATCTCAGAGGGGTTTTTAATCTATCTATCTATCTATCTATCTATCTATCTATCTATCTATCTATCTATCTATCTTTGACTCTCAAAATGTTAATCACTCATGTGGTTCCCAATCCACCAGGCTTATTTCTTCATTTCTTCTGTTCATTTAGGAATGACTATATAGGGGCTGGGGTTTGGTAGCTCAGTAGTAGAGCAACATGCTTAGTGTGCACAGGCTCAAGTGTGTGCTTTTGTCCATAGATATCTGTAAGGAAGAATGACTGTTGCATGTGTGAATTAGGAACTAATTGTTAATGGTATGCATGAGATTTCTTTTTCATTAGAATTGTCTTCATTTGTTTATTTCCAAGCTGACCTCAGACTTGCAAAGCTCCTGGCCCTATCCTGATTGGTATATGCCAGAACACCCTGCCTCAACATCAGGCTCAAAGGTGCTTTAGCACTCAAAAAGTTCCAAAGCAAGTAGCCTTCCTTGAAGTAGGTAGGAAGGTAGGGGTGTGTGTAATGCGTGTGTATGTTTGTATTTAATTTTATGAAATAGTACTTTTAGCACCAAAACAAGTAAAATATCTTGATCCAGTACTGTTCTTTCAAACTCCTCATTCACCAGGTTAGTATTTTCACTGGAATGTCATATAAACAGTTTTCAAACTCAACATGGCAACAATTAAAACTTCTGATTTCTCTTGACAAAAGTTTCTTTTTACAGACTTTTCTAAGTCATTTGATGGTAGCTTACACCTTTTCAGCTGCTATTATCATTTTCAGTCTCAAATTGCTGGAAATAAAGTCCAGACAGATTACCTCCCTCCCCCCAGGGTTTCTCTGTGTAGCCCTGGCTATCCTGGAACTTGCTCTGTAGACCAGACTGGCCCTGAACTCACAGAGATTCCTCTGCCTCTGCCTCCCCAGTGGCTGTGTTAAAGGTGTGCACCACCACCTCCTGGCCACAAACAGATTCATGGAAACTCATATCAGGTTGTATTATTCTTCTGGCCCAAATCTATAATATTGTCCTATTTCAGTAGAATCCATGTGTTTACATCAAATGACCTAAAGGGATCAACATGATTTGCAAGCCTACTTCCTCTTTTCTATTCCACTTCTTTCACTCTGCTGTGGACAGACCATGGTTGAAACTGCCACACATGTTTCCAGATTCTTTTTGTACTTAACTATTGCTTATCATATCTTGAGTCTTTGCTTAGATTTTGCTTTTTAAAAACAGGGTCTAATTATGTAGCCTTGACTAGCCTTGAATGTGAGAAGATCCGCCTGCTTCTGCTTCTGTTTCTGCTTTCCCAGTACTGGGATTAAAGGCATGCCCACCATGCCTGGCTTCTTATCTAGCTCCTGATCCTTCTAGTAGGGTCTACTGGCCCACTTTGTTTAGTTTTATATCCTGCACTTCATCCTTCCAGCATTTGTTCCCTAACTGCCTTAGTCTGTTTCACTGTTAACTTGTAAGAACCACATTTCCTGTCAATTTTTTTCTTTCTCTGATGTATCCAAAGGGCCTGGGATAGTGATTAGAACATAAAAACTCAAATATTCTAAAAATGAATGAATATAATAATCTTCTTGTATACACAATTAAAAAATGAACACACTAATATTAAAGTGAAATAAAAGGGAGGTAATTTATAATACATTAATGTTTTAAATGTCAGTGTTCAGACACAGCTATGTTAGAAGGCACAATGAAGTAGTTAGATTCTTGTGTATATAGAGTATCAGTAAAATAGTAGTAAACACAGACTTCTACATGGCTGATGCCTTTGTTACTCAAATTACTATTTGGCATTGCTGGATGACTTGATTGTTTTCCCCCAAAAAGTGAATAATTCCTAGTAGATAACAGAAACTACAATATTTCCTCACTTTAGATGGTGATTCCATCCCTAGAAAATTCATTCTTTATTAAAACCATGCAAAACTTTTCCTGTTGTTATACAAGGTAGAAATTGTACGGGTAATTAGGAGTTTTACCTAAGTTACATGTCTAAAGCCTTATAGGTAGAAAGCAGTTATTTGTGTATAGAATTTTACTGTTTCAGCATCTTTCGATCCTACCAAAACTTACTTGGTGTTGGGGACAGCCAAAAATATGTTCATAATATTTGCTTATGGTCTTCCTGTGAACAGCTATGTCAGCTTGCCTGGCTTATTTCTATTTTTAATACTTCTGCTATGTGACTTACCATTTCTTTATTTTGTTTGGTGACTGACTCTCATGTGTCTATCATCTGTCTGTCTGTCTGTCTGTCTGTCTGTCTGTCTGTCTGTCTGTCTATCATCTATATGCCTGTGTTGTAATTTACAGTATAAGT